TGAAGGAAGAAGCTCTCTGATGTCAGAAGATCAGCGATGACAGCCAGGATCAGATCCTAGTGCACAAACAGCTGAGGGACTGACTAACATCACTTACAACATTTGAAGCCAAATTCAATGTTCTACAGTGTAAAGAATGAATATATTACCGTGATTTTTGCATGTTATACTAGGTTGCACAGTGATTGGGTGGCCCCATATTCAATTCTGGACCCGGGGTGCTATCTGTGTGGAATTTGTATGTTCTCCCAGTGTTAATGTGTGCCAGTTAGGTAAGTTTCCTCAGGGTGCTCTGTTTTTTTCACACGGTCCAAAGACAAACTGGTAGGCTGTACCCTGCCTTGTGCCTGTTTCTTGTTGGGACAGGCTTTGGCTCTCCTGCCACACTGAATTGGAAGAAGAGGTTAAATAATGGATGGTGGAGGAATATTTTGCTTCTTTTGACTGTTGCAGTTTGAAACACATTTGTTGTCTATACAGTATATGGTCATTTGAGTTGCTGCCTTCTACAATTTTTTGAGTAATAAAAGGTTGATTGTCAGGCCCTTATTGTCATTGGTTTAGTAATTCAGACTCCATAATTTTCACTGAACTACTACTCAACACTATGATGCTATAATCTTGGCTGTGGATAAAATTCAAGTCTTTGTTTTATTATAAATACATTATTCAATTGTGTTCTGCTTTTGGAAATCCTTTGTTCTGCACAGAAAGCCCTGTGATTGTTCAGACACGGTCAAGCTGGGTATTGCTGGCACGAGGTCTACCTGTGTGAGCAAAGTCAAGCTCAGCTACTGGGGGCTATAATAATCTAACAAATTAAATACTTTATAAAAATCTGAACTGCACAAAACATTTTACAAAGAATAAACACATCACATGGCAGTTATAATTAAATTAAGGTGGTTAACTAAGTGAGGGCTTACAGTACATCTTAACAGAACCAGAAGACATTACAGGCCTCAATTGCATACCATTCTTTATGGGTTTAGTAGAGTATATGGAAAATAATATATCCTCAATGGATAAAATGAGCATTATAAGAAACCTGTCACTCTATGCTTGATTTTTTTCAGAAAAATAAAATATACAGCTTTAAGACATTATTTTATTTAATTTCTAGCATTTTAGCATGCCAGGATAGTCTCCAGCTTCCCCACAGTCCTGAACTGGATGAAGAGGTTAGAAAATGGATGGATGGATTATTATTTTATTGTTAAATGTTTTTGGTATGAAAACATTTTGGTTTAAAAGTTGATCATTCATAACTCATCGTGATATACATGAGTAACTTTGTTTCATAATAAAAATGATTTGGCAGAGATGAAGAGGTGAGACAAACACAGAAAGGAACCCACATGCCCTTATTTCTTATCAAGAGAAGAATGTCTTTGTTCCTTTAGTATGTTGGAGGGTGAACAGCCAGTCAGTCTGTCAATGACAGGCCATGATGAGGGAGAATCCCGTAAGGGGGGCACCTGGTGCAAAGCCACATGTATACAGTTTAAACTGCTTCAATAGCGGCTGCATACGTTATCAGCCTGCGATTTTTATAGTAAATCCCCTGTTGATCAACCATGCTGATGACAGATGTATATCAGAGTAAGGAATTTACCTTTTCAATCACTATGTTCAATGTCAGCACAAAAGATTCTTCCATTTTCCTGATAATAATTTTGTGAATTTGGTGTTGTAAGTGATAAGTTTCTTATGAACTGTATATTTCTACTGTATAGTATAATGCCAAATGACAGATCAAATTCCGAATAAGGATTTAAAAATGCATGCAATACTTTAGAAAATGTTAGCCTTAATGCTTAAAGTGTGCCGCAGACAGAGAGGTTAGAAAGTACCCTATTGTGCAGTATAAGCACTTCATCCATCCATTCATTTTCTAACTACTTTATTCAATTCAGGGTCATAGGGGAGCTTGAGCCTATCCTGGCAAGCAATGAATACAAGGCAGGATACACCCTGGATAGGATGTCAATCCATCGCAGGGCACACACAGACACACACACGCTCACACCAGGGCCAGTTTTCCCAGAAGCCAATAACCTACCAGTGTGTGTTATATACACGTATATTAATATGACTTTGGGAGGAAACAGGAGTACCCAGAGGAAACCCAAGCGAACATGGGGAAAACATACAGACACCACACAGATAGCACCCCAGCAATTGAACCCAGGGCCCCAGAACTGCAGGGTAGCAGTGCTTACCACTGCACCAGTGTGCTGTGCCATAATCACTATATGATTAAATATTTTGATAATGTTCTGTTATATACAACTTATCATTTACTATTTATGAATATGTTTTCTGTGCACTATGTCCTTTTTGTTATTTACGCTAAGGACAGTGGGTCTCCTATCTTAAAATGAGATTTATGATTAACATGAAACTCATCTGTGACAAATTAGCTCTAGGCCACTAATTATGCAGAGCTACTTTGTTTTAATTTTATAAGATTTTAACGAAATACATTCATGCTGCTGTATCCTTTCATTTACACAGTGGGGCCAGGGTGCCATTATGAAAATCGTCCTGTACAAAGTAATTACACTCCTTCAGAAAATCCTATTTAGTTTTTATCACCGGTTTTTAGCAGTTTATACCTAAATTACACATTCTGTAACTATATGTCTATGATTTATTTTCTTCTCCTAAGTGTAAAAATTATCCTAAGTGTAAAAATTATCCTTGTGTCTCCAGTGTAGTCAGGTTATGGTTTCTCTCCCCAAATGTATTTGTTGACATAGAACATCATGTTAGGAATTCACTCAAGATGGGCAGTTCTTATTGGACTACATTCCACAATATTAAAAGTGTCACTTTTTGACTAACACTCATGTTCTTGTCCTAATCTAATCTGATCTAATCCTTCATGGACTCTTCCATCTTCTTGTTTTCTTTCCAAATTTGCTTTATTAGAGCCAAAATTTATAGAATTATTTGTTCAGTTAAAGTATTTTTCCTGCTGTTTACAATGCGGCACATTTCAAGTTCCATGATTCCACAAAGGGCAAACTTTGGTATAGGGTTTTAAGAATTGCAGAGTGAACAATTGACAAACCTATGTTTCTGGGCCTTTTTTGTTAACTAGGCCTGTCTGAGGACAGTACACACTCAGAAGTAAGAATGCAATACACTTTTTATGAGACCTATCATATTATCTCAGGCCTCCCCATCTGGACAATTATGAGAATGGCCTGCATTCTTTTGATATTAGGATAAAGAAGCCTGTGACATTGACAAACATTTCAGAACCACCACTAAAACAATAGAAGAATAATTTGGTATTTCAGTATGAATACTGAACTCGCATTCATTTTCAAAAATAATAAGAAAAATACAGTATGTATAATGAATAATATGATCATATTACTCAAGTATGGATCCTTAAATTAATAAAGGATTAGACTTACAAAATATATAGAAATAAAGTGCAATAAATAGTAAAAGTCATCACTTCATCAGTTTCTACTTTGCTATAGTTATGGTTATTTATTATTGTGATAATGGATCTAATAGACTCCAAAAAATTAGAACATTTAAATTTCAGAAACCACGACATATTGATTTCATACAAAAACAGAAATAAAAAAGGATTTGCTTCTTTGTCCAACATATAGTACTGTATTTCACATGAGAAAATGTACTTCAACATGTGCAGCTTTCTAAGTGCTTGGTAACAGCCCTAATTCTGAAGATACTGCTGAAACCTGTTCAGTAAATACTGTAAGTCTGAGGGAGGTCTGTATCTGTTATACTGTAGGTTTGTACCGCTGGAATTTCAGCATGTATCTCCACAAGTCAATACATGTTCCAGAGACTTTCTAGTCTGGTGTTGTGGGGAGAGACTGCCGCACACACTGAAGTCAAGACACACTGGAGGAATATTCCTGGAATGAGCAAAAGTGGATTATTCCAGGATGGGTGGGGTGATAAAAGGATTGTCTTGCAGCAACCTGCTTGCTATTAATGATTGAATGATTGACGAATCCCACAAAGAAGTCTCTTTCAGGTGATTTATTTTCAGCATCGAAACTCCACTTAAGAATAATTAGATCTTCTTCCAGGGAGCTCAGTCATAGTCCATCCATTATCAGAAAGCATCTTATTTAACGGTTGTTGCAACCTTATCCTAGCTGGATACATATGGACAACACGCCACTACACAGTACATTTAATCCGAAGCACACAGGGACAATTTAAAAACATCAACTGACCTAGCTTGCACATCTTTGGAAAGTGAGAAGAAATCAGAGTATCTGGAGAAAATCCTATGTAAAAATGGGAAGAACATGCAAACTTCAAACAGAAGGCTCCCAAGGCTGGAACCAGGACCCAAGAGTGTTGAGGCAGACACATTATTCTGTTAGCATACAGTTTGCACATTTATTCCTTCTGTCAAGAATGATCTGAAAGCATGATTTAGTTTATTTTCTGTGTGATTTTAGTCAATCTACATCGGTGGATTGTTTTCTCCTACATTTGAACTGTTTTTATGTCCAGTTTTTTTAATTACAAAAATTTTAAAAAACAAAAAAATCATCTGCTTTGATTATGTAGAAAGCCTTACTAAGCTTTCTTGCCAACGTAAATAAAGTGATCATGGTAAAGGTTTCATTCTTTAACCCTTCAAAATGTTTGTACTATTTACGCTAAATAAATTAAACAAGTTCTGCTTAAATATTTTAATATTGCTTTATAGCAGAACACAGGCAAAATTCAATTTTCCATTATAATTCCATTAGGCAGAATTTTATCATCCTGAAAGTTAAAGTGATGTTTAAGAATAGTGATAAGGTTTATTGTGAGAAAACCATTAAGATACATCACAGTTTCGTATGATTTCCTAGAGAAATATCATTCATCTTGCTTATGTTGCCGCGGTAATATGAAATGTGACCACGGGGAAGCGCTGCGAAAAATTACAGGCCCTGTATTTTAAAAAAGTAGTATCGGGGTGGGTCTTATTGTGCGCAGGTCTTTTAGCGTTTTTGAGACTGATTTCCTGTGTTCTGTGTCGGTGTGTTGGTGTTAGTGTTTCTGTTGGTTTCTGTTATGGCTTCTGTGGATGTCGAGGAATTTGTGGAACAAAACAGGGATCTTGTTGAATTCGTGGATAAATTCCGCTCTGTTTCGGAGAGCGAAAAGCACTGGAAGTCGCGAAGGGAGTTTATCTTCAGGAATCTCTCTGATTATGAGGATCCACACTTAGACCATCTTCTGGCTTTGTCTATGGTTTGGGCGAACCATGTTTTCCTGGGTTGTCGGTTGGTGAAGTTATATATATATATGATGTATTTGTTAATTGTATGCGTTTTTGCGCAGACGGTATAAATGGGTGCAAATCAGACCGAAATGTTATGCACACTTTGAATGTTTGAGAATTAATGACTGTCCTACAGCCACATTATTAAATTCTGCAAGGTTCAGGATCTCCCACAATATCACGCGTGACAATGTAAACTCATTTGGGTATTGTCCAACAACGTAGACCAAACTTCGGAGCAAAGTGTGAATGTAGCTGTGTTTTTTCCCCTGCCATTAATCCCTGTTTCTTTTCATATTGTAAGACTAGTAACTTTTACTTTTATAAATTGAAGCACGACGGGACAATGCCAGTTAAAACTTAGTACATCCATGTCACTAAATGTGTATATATCCATCATTCGTTTTTCCAAAACATAATTTGCCTTAGGGTATGAAGAGACTGCTCAGCAATGGGAATGCTCAAGGAATGCATGCAGCATCAGAGACGTATTGGTTTACAAGCAAACATTAAGCATGATTGAATGAAATGGCAGATAACAGCTGCATCATTTTATCGCTCCGAAGCTGCAGTTAGGCTCATTTCTCCCCGAAGCACTAGGCTGTAGGGAATCTGCGCAGATGTGTGTGGATGTGGATCTGAGCTACGTGAATAAAACGGCCGTTGCTTGGTAGTGTGCTCGTGAACAAGGCGATCTGTGTTCTTTTAGTCTGCCTAGCTGCTGCTGCAGCTGCTCTCGGTACTAGTCCTCTTGCAGGGGGTGTTCTCTCCTCCGATTCCCCATTGTAGGGTGTCGTATCTCTTTTTGCTTTTATTACAAGGGAGCTCTGAATTTCTGAGGATTGTAGAAGTATAAAATGGGTTACCTAATCAAAACTGATACCTGGCTTCTTTCATGAAAGATTTGTAACCTTTCTTAGGTTCTAAACAGGAGTTAGATTTGTACCTGGTACTGATATTTAGATGGGATTTAGACACCCATCATTTGGTTAGATGACTGGACCAGATGACTGAAATTTAAACTCAACTGAACCCCCTAAATGGTCCCCTTAAATAGGGGGACTATGTTTAAAAAGGGCTGTGATTCCTCATCTAATATAGACATAAAAACCCTCGAATTAAAGCTGGCATTCTGCACTGTAACCTCATAGTCATTGTTTCATTTCAAATCCAGAGTACAGAGCCAAAACAACAATTGTCACTGTCCAAATACTTACAGACTGCACTGTACATCACAAAATAGACACAATTTCAAGGCATGCCCAATACCATATTGCCAGAATGCGACAACCAAACTTATGCTGAGGTGAAGCAGCCCTATTACTTTGTAAACAGGCAGGATTGTAAATACAGCTCTTTTAATCCAATAGAAATATTGCTCTCAACTTCGAGAGGGTTTTGCCAACAACTACTTACTTGTTGACTCTGCGGTGAAATGTCTCCTACTTATATTGTGTGCTTATAATAATGTGTGCTTATTCGCTCGTACATCGCATTACATTAGTCATTACAGTAACTACCGAGCAGGAAGGGCCGCCTCATGTCACAGTTTGTGGAATGGCTTTCACCCTTGACGAGACCAGGGGTTTGCGACAACATGGCAATTTACAGTACTTTCACCAAGTTCGCGATGCTGTGCTTAATTTGGAAAAATTTTCACATTTTCTGTAATGTCACTGAACTAATTTTGTTACAGAGATTTAATAACCGGTCTGAGAAATTGGGACTGCTGTTCACCTTCAATAATGAGTGGATTTGATAATTACCAGAATGTTTGAGATACTGTGATTTCCACCTGGTTTTAATGCATCATTGGCATCATTAGGATTGAGGACAGACTAAACAGTTCTTGTTTCCTGATCATTCTGGCAACAGTACAGCCTAGAACCAAGGACTGAAAGGAGAAAATAAAAAAGTTAGAATAGTTATTGGTCTGCATTGGACAGAACGAATCTGGTTCTGGGGGCACTTTTGAAAAATGCCTGATCTTCATACATGGCGATTTCTTGTAGTGAAAAAGAGTGACACTCTTTGCTTGCTGAAGGCTCTTATTTTTCTTGTAGATACAGCCCGGACCTCATGGAGAAAGTAAAGGAGATGGCAGAAGGAATTGAGGTTGAAGATGCACCGACCTTTAAAACACGCGATGAGATCATGAAAGAGGTGAGCAGTTGTTAATCAGGAAGAGAGATCTTTCAATAGTTCGAATTAGATACTTGGTTCAGGCTTGTTGGAGATACCTTGTCTTGTACTGCTCTGCTGTAAAGAAAATGTACTGATAGAAACAGTTGTCCCATTAACAGTTGTCCTAGGAGAGTATATTAAATTGTCATGAGCAGTATTCATTGCTGGACCTGCAGGGCTGTTATAAGTAACAAAAATCCCCAAGGACTAAGGACTAAGGCCCTGGAAACAGTGGTTCTACAGAACAGTTCAGTGAACTGTTGCTTCAGAAGAAGTCATTAAGAGTCCAGGGTAGAATGATAACCAGAAGACATGCTGTCTTCATCATCACTTTGTTTCCTCCACTAACAGGGATCTTAAATTGAGTTCCCAGTGGGCATCACTGCCTTTGGGCTATTTGTTTACCTGAGCTCTCAATCACGCAACAAGGATCTGAAGTGTTTTATACATTACTGGAACTTTAAAGAACTTCATCCTTTGAACATAATCTGTACACATAAACTGTAATCTGTACGTTTCTTTATTTTACTGAGGAGATAATTAGGTTATTTGATTAATTCACTACTCATGTTGGAACAAGAACTGCAGGGCCACCCATAAAATGAACTTGAGACCTTTGTTCCAAAATGCTTGAACAATTCTAGAGAGATTTATGGTGGGTTTTGCTGTATTCCAGTCATGAATAATGTCTTTGTGAACAAAATTAGTGGTTACAGGACTTTTATTATTTTACCAAGGCTCCATGAAAAACCTCACAATTTTACAATTCAAGTATAAACGACTTTGACATTTCATTCCAAAGAAATTGTATTTCATTGAAGTAATCTATCCCTCCATCCATTTTCTAACCACTTTACCCAGTACATGGTCAGGGGGAGCTGGAGCCCAATCCAGCAAACATCAGGCGCAAGGAAGGATACACCCTGGGCATGTCTCCAGTCCATCATGGTGTACACACAGACACAACAATGCACAGACTCACACCAAGGCCAGTTTTCCCAGAAGCCAATTAATCTACCATAATGTCTTTGGACTCTGGGAGGAAACTGGAGCACCTGGAGAAAACCCATGTTAACACAGGGAGACCATGCAAACTCCATGCAGATAGCACCCCAGATCTGGAATTGAACCCTGGGTTCCAATGCTGTGAGACAACAATGCTAACCACTGCATCACTGTACCTTCTCATTGAAATAATGGGAAACAATTATGATCAGTTCATTGTTTAGTTGTCAAGTTATGTATGAACTGATTTTTAAATGTCAGGCTTAGCCAAACATTTTGCTTAGCAGGAGTAATTTAAACCGAATAGTGTATTGAATATTGCATCTCCTTACTTAGTGATGAGGAGAACAGACTGGATTTAAACCATTTTTTTAAGATGCAGTTGTTTCCTGGAGTATTTTGTTTCAAATACCACAGCTGCAAATGTCATTATTGCCTATTGCCTCGTACAGTCTGTACATTTATTTGCCATTAATAAAGTTTTCCTTCACTTTCTCCACTTCAGAAGCGGTAACAGCACAAGAACACAGCTCCAGCGGAAGACAATTTGGACCAGACCTCTGTGCTGGGGGTTACCGGATGCAAAAGACTCGTTATGGACTATTTTAAGGCCACTTACAGTGGGTATTTTAAGCAAAAAATTGAAGGAATGAGGCATTGGTCTCCAGATGAAAATAGTACAGATTAATTGTGTGATATGAAGACATAGAAAACATACCAGCATCTTTTTCTTATAAGATGTTTGTCTTTTTCTTATAAGAATGTGAACATCTATCAGAAAATGACCCTTAAGTTGTGGTATGACAGGTTGATTGAAGTGCTTCTTTTTTACTTTTTGTAGTTGGAATCGCCAATTACATTTTATCCCCAACTGATTTGGAGTAGCCAACGTGGTTTTGTGCATCTTTTTTACTTTTTTAATGTATAAAGTTGGAATCACCAATTATATTTTATCCCCAACTGATTTGGAGTAGCCATTGTGGTTTTTTTACATGTCAGCTTGGAGCTACCAACCCAGCAGCCCACACAGAGGGGAGAATGAGGAGGTGTAGGCAGATTCTTCCAACAAGCTCAGCCCAATAGTATTTTAACACATCAGCTCAGCACAGGAGGTTCAGTGGTGATTAGAGAAGGGTTGTGCCCCTTGGTAATTGTACCGCATGCCTGGTCACAGGGGTCTCAGGTGCTGGTACAGGCCTGGACAAACATTCCTGCCCTCAGGCTGTCGCTGCAGGCTGGTGACACCACCCAGGCTTGAACCTGTGATCAGGAGACCTGCGTGAGTGCATCTTCTAAAACACCACTAACAGACCTTATTAAACATCCGTCGAGCAAGCAAAGACATGAAGGAACAGTGGACCTTTCAGCTGTAATGAAAGCTGGTCGATTCCGGCAGCCTCTGCTTCAATATTGTCATCATCTTGTTCGGCTTCTTGTCTTTTTTTTATCAGCATTTGTTTTCAAAATGGAACAAATACAATTCCAGAAGACGTGTGTGGTAATTAAAAAGGTTTTTAAAGTAAGACAAGGCGCATCTGCCAGCCTTGTCGAAGGTTCCATATTAGCAGAAATGTGATTTACAGTAGCTAATATTTTTACAATTGAACGGCCCACTTACAGTGTACTTAACCCCACTTGAAAAAATCTACACTAACCTGAAGACTAATGGTAATTTGAGTGTTCTCACTGAGAAATACCTGTCAGGGGCACAGCAGCATAGTCACTTCCGAGACGTTCTCTTTGAATGGCACAATGGGTCTGACAGGGTCGAGAGTAGCCTTCGCCTAAAACTCTGCTTTTCCACTCTGATGAGATCATTTGAAAAAATCTACATAATAATACAAAATACATACATGCACTGCACTATTACTGTTGAAGCAAGTTATTTGGACATTGTACGAGAGGCCTGTCATAATTAAACATAATAACACTCGTAGAACTTGTAATGGGGGCTGATATTACCTTGAGAGCTATCACGGTGCTGTTGATGTACTTTACAATAGCTGTAATGGCACCATAATGCAAATCCTACATTACAATTTAAAATTAAAGGGTGAATTTAAGATTTTCTAAATTTTTATAAATGCGGGGTAGAGTAAAAAACATTCCTGTATGTTTAATATACTGTATTAATTTGCCCTATTAAATTACTGGAGCTGAAAGATTTTCAGCTACAGGTTTAGTGGACCTATAGTTAGTTCACTTGAAGTGGATAAAAGCTCTTCCTTCCTACATTGCAATTACATGAAGAAAATTAGATGTTAATGTCACTTAAAACGAATTATAATATGCTTGCATGCATATTTTAAAAGCAACTCATCGGGTAGGCTGTGCTTTCCCAGCTGAAAATTGAGTCTGCAGCAGTTCTATCCTGGGTGAAACATTTAGTATTCAGGGAGTAAGGGCTTTGATCTTAACATTAACCCTGATACACTAATCAAGCTTTTAGTGGATTTATACATAACTGAAAGAGGTGAGAGGCAAATCTTCGATGAAAAATCAGTGGGGACTCTGATAAAAGGCACATTGATAAAACAATCTGTAATTCACTGCATCAGGATATGATGTTTGTGTCTGATGAAGAGAAAACTTAAGATCCCTGTATTCTGACAGTTGGACAACTGTTTCTTGTTGTACGCTCAAAAACATGCTTTCTATGAATTCTTAACAGTGGTAAAAGCACACATTTGTGTTTGACAGAAGGAGGATCTTACAGGGAGTCATACAGTAGCAGTTTATCTGCCCTTTCTACCACATTTCTGCTAATTCCATCATATCAATGAAACAAAAAGAATCTTAAGCTCTGCCATTCCCATGGCAACCATGCTGCTGCCCTGTTATCCAGTGTTCAGGGACAAACGCTGAGTGCATTTTTTGAAGAGTCTTGACTTGCAAAACCTTAGCAATTAAAATTTTAAAAACTTTTACAATCTGTGTTGTAAACATTAACATCACACAGTGGTCATCTCAAAGTCTGCAAAATGTTTTTTATTATGTTTATACAGCATATTAGAAGTTTACATTGTGTCTTAATAAATTCACAAAATACTAATTTATAACATCTCCCTTTTCATTATATTAAGTGGAAACAAAATTATGTTTCCACTAAGTAATCAATATTCTCTAAATAAAATCTGATTTAATGAAAAAATGTTTTTGCCATCAACAATTGTTTTCTTGGACATAAGACAGGGTGAACAAATGCTCTTTATTTTTAGTTACCTTTAATTGGATGCCGCATTAAAAAAGAAACAAACACACAGAGAAAACCATATCTAGACTTCAGCAGGTGTATGGAAATGGCAGATCGTGGTGAGAAAGGCAAGGAAAGAAGACCTTCATAGAAACCATTTTTAAAACTAAAAAGTAATTTTGTTTTTCATTTTTTTCACATGCTTAGTGGATTCAACCTATTACAGCTGAACATTTCTGCACAAGAAGTGCTTTTCCTTCACAAGGATTTGGGTCAAACTGCTTTTGAAAAGCAAATTAAAATAGATTTCACTTCCAAGTCAAGATACACTGTTAAATTTGCGGGGACTGTAGTTCTTTTTAATTAGAGAAATTTGATTAGAAAATTACAGTTTGGACAGATCTAAAGTTGCCAGAGCAACATTCCACTGCATCTTTCTGATAAAGGACAGGACTGTGACACTGATTAAATCCTCATTTTTTTAGGGAGCAGCCATTGTTTGGACAAAACCAAAAAAATTAAAATGTGATCTGCCATTGCACCAGTAAAACCAACAACAAAAAACTCTTCACAGCCTGTGTTCTTCAAACCAAGATAAACATTAAAAAAAAGTTTGGTAGAAACTGAAAAGTAACAGCATCAAACCAACAAAAAAGGAAATAAAGATATATTACAAGTTTTGTTAGCAATAACTTATTTCACATCATGCAATAAAAAATTAAAAACAATAACACAAACCTCAAAGGTAGATTTCAAACATATTGGCAAGCAAGTAAAAGTCCCTATTTCTTTCCAAATGTGTGGCACTTAAAAGTTCTTCTGTTGTTGACTGTTTATTCCTGATGAGGTAAATGAGAGATTGATAACAGTGGTGAGGAGCACTCTACTCTGTTGTTAGGAGTCATTCCAGCTTTGTTCTACAATAGCAGAGACCCTCTTCTCATACTCCCTCTTGTTCTCTTGGTACAACTGGGCTGCCTGGCTGTTGGCGGGACTGTTTGGGTTTGGTTCATCCAAGAGGGACTGGATAAGAAAAAAAATAGAATATTTTTAAATTACTTAGGAAAACAACTTTGGAATTTTCTGGGAATTCCTCTCCTATGTCGGTGGAAGTCTCATTTAATGTACCCAGTGAATGCGCACAGGACAACTACTAGCAGCTCCTGTTACTAGCCTGATTGTACCTAGCAGAAATACTCCAGTAAAGTTGCCAGCCTCTTTAAAATGCCATACCTTATTTTTTTTCAGAAAATCAGTCTTTTAAAGGCACTGTTAAAATGGCACATGTACTACATATCAACAGCAGGCATAAAACCCATGGTTTTTATAAGCCTAGCAGCAATTTACTAGACTTTATGTTATACAGTTATGATAGCTACCCAATCAGAATTCATAGATCCTGTGGTGCGCTCTTGCAGACTCAGTATTAATACTGTATACATCGGCACAAGACCCCCAGAAGAGTAGCGCAATGAAGGTACAAGCTAAAATCAAGAGGGTTATATAATCTGCAGAAAGTAGGGAATTAAAACTAACCTGAATAGAGGTTAAAATAGATGACACATCATATGTGGGACTCCAGCGATTCTGAAGGATATCTAAACATATGCTTCCATCAGCATAAACTGGAAGAATAAAAATGTATTTCAGAATTACACAACCTAAATTTATATCCATTTAAATAGGTGTAAACACTATTTTAAGGCAATGCATCAGGGTGGAGCAGACATACACTGTACATAATATCTGGGGAAATTATTCAGTATAGGGACACAAATTTGTCTCAAATAGCTAGAAAAAAACCTAGATTTGTAGTGCAGTTGATAATGCTAGATAACGTAGAAGACTTAATAGAGTCTACTACAGAGCACAACAGTGAATACACAAGAAGTAAGGACTGCCCAAGTAAAAGATGGCAGATGTCCTAACTCCAACAGTTTAAGATTAAAATGATGTGTGGTTCTGCGAACATGCAGAATCAGCATAGATGCTTTACTTGTGACATTTGTCAGAAGGACCAATGTTTAAGATGCATGTCCTTCTAACTCTCCAACCCATGCTAAGAAAATCCTTGAGTGGCTGTTCATCAATAACTACATAAAGTTTATACAATTTCTGAGTTCAGTTTGGTCAGGACAAGGTTGATTCGTCCTGGCTAAACCAATATCTGCAGACAAAACAAGTAGAAGTACTGATCGACTGCAGCTTGTGAAAATGACGAGAATGTAAGTGGGCATAGTCTTACAGTTTTACATAAGCAGCAGTCTCAGCATGAAATCCACCTACTAACAGTGTGAAGACATCAGAACTATTTTAGCTAGCCATCCTTACGCAACAAAATTAATAAGTTGAAATTCATCAACACCAACAAAACCTACACATGGGAAAGTCCTACCATTTGGATGGAACATTTTTGAGATGAATCGGACAGTTGGGGGTTTATTTGGGTACTCTTCTGAAAATTCGATCACAAGCTTAAAAGTTCCTGTGGAGTGGAGAAAAGCAATTAAGGATACTAAAAATAGAACACTTTCCTCATGACAAGAATTAATTTTGATTTGGGACTAAAAAATATCAACCTCATTGTTAATAATTTATTAAAGGACTAATGATGGATTAAAAATAAATGATGATTCAGCAAGCAATATTTTTTAGGGTATTATGAAGACTATAGCATTTAAAATTTTCATCACATTACCATTAAATCTCTACTTAATTAACATAGTTAACCATAATGACACTCTTCTGCTCATTCACATAACTAGGCCTCATTTTTCATCATCTAGGAGGAGAGAAGGAAAAATGGGGCAAAGCTCACTAATCTGGCATCTGCCTATTCCATTCAATTGGCACCTATCAGCTGTAAATACTGATTAAGTATTTACTTAATATTCAGGTGGGTAGCTGCGTCATCATGCGTAGTCTGGAAAGGTGTCACACCTGAAGAAGGCTTCACAGCCAAAACATTGTTTTTTCTCTCTTCTCTTTTGAGCATGGAATAAACCTATTACTTGTTCCTTTACTTAATATTCTATTTGTTTTGTGATGATTTGCTGCTATTTATGCTTTGATTATATGCTTATCTATATCCTTACAACAACGGTCTCTTAGAGAACTTATATGAAAGAAAAAGTCTGAGAATGTTTTATAGGACAATGATAGTGAGTAGTACGATATTTAAAGTGCTTCTTTTATAACAATCATGACGAAATCAAGTTCAAGTTTATTGTCATTATACTCATACACAGGTATATGGTATAACAAAATGCTATTTAGCTAGCTCTCAGACAGAAAGTAGTACAAAAAAACAACAATACAATTGTATAAGAAAAGAGAGAGACAACAGGCAATGTGCAAATCAACATCAGTTGTGCAAAATCATACATCAACAATTAAATAAAGGATAGAAAATTATGGGGAGTGAACTTCTTGACATGTGAGGTAGAGGTAGATATCAATGTGTGTTTGAGTTTTGATAAAGAGAGAAGGCACTGTAAGGGTTCAGATCGTGGGTGAGAGAGGCTTTAGAAATAGTTTGATACTGCAAGGGTAAAAACTGTCTCCAAGTCTGGTAGTCCGGGCCTGAATGCTCCAGTACCATTTTCCAGATGGTAGAGGGTCATACAATCTGTATCTGGGGTGCGTGGGGTCTTTGATGATGCTTAGAGCTTTCCTCAAGCACAATCTATCATATATGTCCTGGATAGATGGATGGGAGAGCAACCCCAGTGATGGACTGGGCAGTTTTTACCACCCGCTGTAGGGCTTTGCAGTCGGCAATACTGCAGTTGCCATACCACACTGTGATGCAACCTGTCAGTGTGCTTTCTGTAGTGCATCTGTAAAAGTTAGTGAGGATCTGGGGACACATCTTAGCCTTCTTCAACTGTCTTAGGAAGTATAGGCACTGTTGCGCTTTCTTAATCAGACAAGTGGCCTTGAGAGACCATGTGAGGTCCTTGGTGATATGGACGCCAAGGAATTTTGTTACTGACCCTTTCCACTTCAGTCCCGTTGGTGTGGATAGAGGCATGACTGTTTTGCAGTTTTCTGAAATCAACGATCAGCTCCTTGGTTTTGCTGACGTTGAGGGTGAGGTTGTTGTCCTCCCACCATGTTGTAAGGAGATTGACCTCCTCCCTATAGGCCCTCTCATCATTGTCTGTGATCAGACCTACAACTGTGGTGTCATCGGCAAACTTGATGATGGAGTTGGTGTTATGTTTGGCCTTCAAGTCGTGGGTGTAGAGGGAGTAGAGCGATGGACTAAGCACACACCCCAGGGGGATTCAGGGGAAATCAGACTAGTTCAGAATTATCATGATGTGTTAGAAAATACAACACCAATATTTTAGGATGTTGCAATACTTCTACATATATTTGGTCAACTTACCATCTTCAAATGGTGTGCCTTCTGGGCTGAAAAAGAATAACAAAAATATGAATTACATGACAACAGTTTTTGCATTTACTATATAACATCCATACATTTTCTAAGCGCTTTATCCAGTACAGGGTTGCAGTGGACCTGGAGCTTATCCAAGCATTAGCAATGGAGACAAGGCAGGGTACACCATGGATGGGATGCCAGTCCATTACAAGGCACACATAGTCAGACATATATACTCACAACAGGGCCTATTTTCCCAGAAGCGAATTAACCTACCAGTATGTCTCTGGACAGTGGGAGGAAACCGGAGCACCTGGAGGAATCCCATGTGAACATGGGGAGAACATACAAACTCCACACAGACATCACCCCATGTCAACAATTGAACTCAGGGCTCCAGTGCTCCAAGGCAGCAGTGCTAACCGCTGCACCACCTTGATGCCCCACTGTTTAACAATGAACATTAAATACAACAATTGGGTCCAAAATTTAGTTTAATAATAAAGCAGATCATGTGGCGCTGTAACTTATTTAATAAACTTCCAACAGTTTAATTTGCAGGTAAATGCTTCTTCTATGATTTTTTTCTTTCTATGGGACCTCTACATAAACAAGCAAGCATTCTGCTTTGTTTCAGTCACAAGACACAAGACTGACTGCAAATACTCCCAACTCATAAGATTAGTTTTGAACCAAGCTGCAATATAATGTAACAGACCAAATACTTAAATCACACCTGCTTCCATCTGGCTTTCTACTAAAGTATGGGAAGCCCAGTAGAATATTACGGTTATTAAATCTCACCCAAATATCACTGCATTCCACAGCATGATGTTATTTTCTGATGGGGCACCACTGACTCCAGCAGGAGGATCTTCTTGAAGCCTTTTAAGACATAAATAATAGAGTTTTATACTGTAGGTGAAAATGTACTTTTAGGATTTAGTAATATTATAGAAAACAAGCTCCAAATCTGACCAGCCTAGAAAAAGCCTTGAAGGTTTTTTTTAAAAGGACTTGTTATAAGGCACATGTTTACCTTAATGCAGGTATAGAACAGGAAACAGGTCTCAGTAATGGATGGCTCTCTTTAATCTTAACCTTCTTGCAGAGCCTGGATTATTCAGTCTAGAGTTACCTTAAGACAAAACTGTACTGTATAAGCTCTATTTTGCCAGCAAAAAAGAATTAAAATGCTTGCTGGTTCTGGTCCTGTTTAAGATAAAGGTGGCAGATTCTATTCCCTAGCAGTTTAATCTTATTAGAAGTGTTAAGTTTATTACCAAAGCTCAAAACAACACATCCACCAGAGACCGATGCACCAGAAAGTAATGACAATGTTAAAAACATTTGGTGATAATCCGAATAACCTGTGGCTTTAGGCTCCTGTTCTGCAGATGTCTGCCTGTCATCCCAGTGCATGACTATGATCACTTTCCAATATCTGATACCCCAGCTTCAAGGGACACGAATGATTACATCTTAACAGCAGCCGCCTTGAGTCTGTTCTTGTAAGGTTTCCAAACCACCTGCACCTCAAACAGGTGTCTAGCGCTGCTCTTAGCAAACAAAAAGAGCTCAGTCTCAAGTACAGGCTTCCACACGTGAGCCCTTCATCTGTCTGCTGTGATGACAGAAGGTTGATGCAGGTCATGCCTCACTGCTGCTGACTGCACTGTCAGACAGTGCCACTGCTGCCCCAGCCCCAGGGATTATCCTACTTCAAGATGGGCTCAATTCCCATCACAGAAGAAATTAAATAAAAAACAAACAACAACCACCCACAACAGGGAAACTGGATTTAAAAAAACTAGCATCAGATTCATCAAATTGTTTTCTGAAGGAAAAGATGATGCATTAGTCTGCAAAGGTACATTCAGCTGCATAACACTGTCAAAGATGAAGTGTTTCTTGTAAAACATAAATGTTGTACCTTCAGGCTTTGCGATACACTATTATATCAGGCATATATAAATGTTAACCAGCAAATATTCTTCTCCAAGATGTAAAGCCTGCTTTTAACTGAGTGGATTGAGAGATTCCAATGAAAAAATGTCATCAGCACATACAGTTGTTTTAAGGGGAGATGTGTTTCCCAAATGGCATTTTAGGGTCCAGGAAGAACAGCAATGCTCTTCTGTTACACTATGAAAAGGTTACATTTGTGTAAAAATGCTGCAAAAACATAGAGCCCTGTTTTTATTTATTGCTTATATCTAGTCCAATAATTGCATTGAAATTAAATTAATATATTTTTTTCACCCCACAATAAGGAAAATTGGATTTTGAAAACCAGCAGCAAGTTGTTTTCCAAAAGAAAAGCAGTTATCCAATTCTATAAAAGGTACCTTCAGTTAATGGATATATATATTGAAAAGGAAGGACCCAAAATTCAACACCAAGTGTGATACCACAAACTCACCTGACAAGTTACAACATCCCTTAGTTCTCAGCTAGTGGTACCCAGAAAGAAAGAGGGACTAGAAAAGTTTCCATTTTTTCCCCCCAAGTACTATGTACCATGAATTCAATTCAAGCTTTATTATGCTCTGGGTGAAATTTGCTTTACAAATGCAACAATACACCAAGGAAGACAAATATTACCAACAGAGAAGACGGTACAATGATGTTACAGGAGATAGGAGGGTTTTCTGCCCCGAAATTCAGCTTTTGATATTTTTACAATGATAACCTGTAGCATTATTAATAATATTGTAATTACAGTATAAAATCTAGTTAGACTGTATCGGCTACGTTTGGGCGTCGTTATCCAGAACCATAATAAAATAAGAGGCTCAGAGACGGCCTCCCTACAGCTTACGGAAAACTTCAATTTCTCCTGAAGAACAATACCCAGACTCCTGGAATCACAACACATCCTAGGGGATGGCCACACCAAACATTTCACCAAAAGACCGTTACATAACATTAAAGGGACACATCCTCTCTACTGCGAGTACCGACTTCTTAACCAAACCCAGCCCGTCTGCCCCTGTCCACCAAGGAATTATAGGGCACCGGCCAGTTTCTGGGTTTCAGGAAGAAAAAGATCCCAACTAAAAAACATGTGACCTGTACTTAACCTGAAAAGGTGAATCTACTGTCTATTGGTGTCGTTTAAAATCTAGTAATAGTGAAAATGAATTTCCAACAGCGTCCTGCTGTCATTGTGCGAGCTATTCTCCTTTATATAGTCATTTGACACAATCGAGGGGTGATATCACATTAGCTCAGCATTACCAGTGAATTTGGAAATATACAATCGCCGCTGAATTTTTGTATTGTGTTTACTGGGGGAAAAAAGCGTGAAAAGAAAAAAGGATATGCATTCTCTCGTGTGAGAAATTCAGGCACGGTTCTCGAAAAGGAACCTTTTTGCAAAGAAAGCCGAAAGAGTGGTTTGAAAGACAACTCGCTTTAATTAGTCCCCCACACCAAAAATATGTTCACCTTCAAGAAAAGCACCGATGCACCGCAGATATCGACCAGGCAGTCGAAACTTGAATACCTAAAAGCACAGGCCTAGCACTGCCGTACTGAATATTACTGTTGGGCAATGGAAAAAAAAAAAAACAATGCTCAGAAAAATGGAGCTCACCTTTTAAAATCTCTCATAAGTCGCCTCCGGGCCGGGGTAGACATGGTTCAAAATGACAAATTCAGAAATTTTTAACCATAAAACCAAAGCCGAGCCGGTATATTTTTGAGCTAATTTCACCTCTTGTGCCTTTTTTTGCTCCTTCCAAACAACTAGGGTGACGTCATAGACCTCCCATAAAATAAAAGGTGACGAATCGACCGATTGGAATAGTCCAATTTTAATTTTATCTACAAAGTGAAAGGTGAACGGTTCATTTTAGATAAATGCGAATTAATTGTTATTAATCAGAAAAAGCCTTTAGAACTGTGTCCTCTTTATTCTGTTTACGTTAGTGGGGCTTATACATACATTTTTCAATTTTACGCACCACCCCTCTCCAGAATGAAGAGTTGGTGCGGCTTCCACAGAAATAAGACGCTGTAGCAGTTGGCTCAGTGGCATTAGAAGTGATGTGTGTTTTGGAGGTAGGGCTTAGGTGAGCGCAGTCTGTCTTTTTTGTGACTTCATTTGATATCATGTATAAGATATATAAATGTTTACATTTATATAATTCAGAATTTTTCAACCATAAAGCCAAAGCCGAGCCGGTATATTTTTGAGCTAATTTCACCTCTTGTGCGTTTTGCTCCTTCATACCAGGCCAAAAAACGAAATGCCTTTTTCCATAACAGCGGTGTTTGGGTAGGTAATCATTATGGCCATTAATGGAAAGTAGATTATTTGGTTTAATTTCGCATATCCTACAGTATGCTTGGTATATTGAGCAAATTGTGCATGGCAAATATTTAGTAAACTGAAAAAAGTGCTTCACAATAAAGGTTAAGTCCAAATGGTGTTACATGTTGAGATCATGGAGAATAAAATTGGAATAACTTCGATCAATTTGTGAAGTGCAGTTAAGGTTTCAGTTACTATTTGGAAGTGGGGTAATTAAAGGGTTCTATTAACGTGACCAGACTTACATCAACATAAATTGTTTTCTTCTAATATACGTTCGCATACAGAATATGTGTGTATATATCATAGGCTCACATACTGTACATGGAACAATGTGAAACTGATGAGTAAAATAACTTGAAACACCCAGTGTTGGTCCAGCATAGATCATGTTGTTTTCTTCCCATCAGAGTATGAGTACAGTTTCTAGGCAGGTGTTCTGAAAATAACTTTAAGAGAGTTAAACTGGAACCTGTAAATTGTGTCTTGAAAGTCTATACACAGGAATTGTTTGATTAATGGGTGTTGCAGAGGATGTGGCCTTCAAATACAAGGTCCTGAAGCTGGACCTTTTATTTGCAGATGTCATTGGCCAAAACAGACAGTTGCCTGGTAAACTGCTGCTTCTGCGGTGGAAGGCAGCAGTCAGGCCCCTGCAGCAGTTAAATTTGGGCTTTGCAAGAAAAGAGAGATCAATGTACGCAGTTGCACACAAACTCTAGGTGGCCTGAGGTTGTGCCCATGGCTTACACTACCAACATTTGGATGGCAGAGAAACTGCTTATATTGTTTGCAGCACATGGGCTACCAGAGGAAACTGTCAATGGGCTGCAGAAGATTTTTATTCATACTTTGGATTTTAAGGTTTTCCATTTCACATTTTTTCCCAGCAGCCTGGGAAGTTAAAAGGTAATCCCTGTATAGATAAGACACATTATAATATCAGCAGTGGCATGATCATTATTAATTATTATTATTTACCCACTGAAGCTAAGCAGGTACCTGGATGGGAGACCTCCTGGGAAAAACTAAGGTTGCTGCTCGAAGAGGTGTTAGTGGGGCCAGCTGGGGTCACTCACCCTGCAGTCCATGTGGGTCTTAATGCCCCAGTATAGTGATGGGAACACTAGACTGTGAACAGGCACCGTCCTTCGGAAGAGACGTAAAACCAAGGTCTTGATTCTCTGTGGTCATTAAAAATCCCAGGACGTTTCTCGAAAAGATTATGGAAGTAACCCCGGTGTCCTGGCCGAATTTCCCATTGGCCATTACCAATCATGGCCTCCTAATAATCTCCATTAATGAATTGGCTTCATTACTCTGCTCTCCTCCCCACTGATAGCTGATGTGTGGTGAGTGTTCTGGCATCATCCAGGTGGATGCTGCACATTGGTTGTGGTGGAGGGGAGTCCCCATCACCTGTAAAGCTCTTTGAGTGGAGTGTCCAGAAAAGCGCTATATTAGTGTAAACATTATTATTATTAATAATTGATTGATTGATTGATTAATTGATTAATTAATTAAGGTGTCCAGTAATGACAAGCCATGCCAAATGGGACGTGGATGGTAACTGAAAGCCTGGGCCTGTCCAGTGTGGCAGCGGTCCCTAGTCTCTTCTGTCGGTTGATATTTTTATATCTAGTGTATATATTTTTCTGTGTAGTGCCAGTGTTATGCTTTTCCCCATCACTTTGTGTGCCAACAGTCTTGACTCAGCATTGCTGTAGCTCTTTCTCATTCCTCTCAGATGAATTTTGTATTAACACAGCTCCTTTGGATTGATTTAAATTAAAAAAAGAGCAAATGTACTCTTGTAATCCACTGTATTTGAATGATAAAACAGTTCAGTAAATAAATCTACTGTGTACAGTATATTTATTCCCGATTAGGTCAAAATCCTCACAAGAAATTAGATTTTTGTATTGTATATACTTAAAACAGACTTAAAAAAGTCTGAAAGACCTACGTCTGATAGTATTGCAAACACTGCATAAATATCTAATTTTGACTTGTTGAATTAAGAATTCAATATATATGGATATATTAACTTAAATGTTGATTAAGGGAGATGTGTTAGCCTGCAAGCTAATAAGGTACAAAGAAAGGTTAATTATGCCCCCCAAAATACAAAAAAATAAATTAAAAAAACAATGTTTCAGCTTTTTGACAGTTCTGGAAAAGACTGAAGCATTCTTCTCTTACTTCTTTTCAGTGTAGAATTAACCTCTTTTTGTTCCTTACAATGTACACAAATGTATAAATTAAAAGAATGCTACTATCAACATTTTATCTTCAGTTTGTGCTCTGTTCTTCCTTTTACTGTAGTATTCCAGAATGTTTTTTCTCTATTGTGACTGTTTGGTTTGTTGTCATGGTAACTTCACTTCTAATTCTTAACTTTTCAGATTTCTGTAAATTGTTTCATGTGCCCAAATAACCTGTCAGGAGAGGTGCGTTATAATAGTAATTGTATTCCAATTTACAAGAAGAAGCTAAATAATGAGGAGTTTTCCAAAACATATATAGAAAAAAATGCAACCAGGAATAAAAGTGATCTGTGAAAATAAAATAAGCAGAAAAAGAAGAATACGCTGAAGGGCATTGTTTGTACTGCTATTTTATTTCATTGCTGAAGAGTAGGTAAGTAGTAAGATATGCGATTTTATTTTTCTCTGAAGTATCTGCAGTGCAAAGAAGAATGTCTGTGCTCTTTTTTAGGAGACAATAGCATTTGCTCTGTTGTTGTGCATAGTTGTGATACACAGCCCATGCTCCGGTATGATGGATATGTATGAGAATCTTGGGATTGTGGGAGAGGGAAGCTACGGATTGGTCATGAAGTGCAAGCATAAGGAAACAGGCCACATTGTCGCCATCAAGAAATTCACCGACACAGAAGAAGACACGACTATGAAGAAGATAATCACAAGAGAAATCAAATTCTTAAGGGTAAGGAGAAACTACTGAGAACTAAATAATATTATCTCATGTATTGTGATAAGAAACCCAACCCCTTTGTTTTCTCCCATTTTTGGGGTGGGAGAAGGAAAAGAGGGGGGCTGTTTATTTTATGAATTTGTACCCTCAGAATTAGATTCACATTCAGTTTACAGCCCTGAAAGGAACCCACATTTCTTAATTTCCATAAGAACCTATATCTACCTTTTGTGATATCTGCTTTATTGCTTTATATATCTCTGACATAAGGTATTTGTATTTGCACAAACCCAGTACCCCATATAGATCCATGTTTACTGTACATAAAAAAATGCTTCTAGATCACTGTCTAATAGTGGTATAAACTTAAAAGATGAAGCAGACAAAAGAGAAAAGTGAAATATGGCTTTCCATGGGTCATCATATGTCTAGCAATTTTATGTCCTTGACATAAGAGTAATGATCTTTATTTTTAAAGGGGCAGGGTTGTTTAGTGACACTGTACAGTGAACAAAACAAGTCACCCATATCTTTCAAACACATATTTGTAATATGTGTAGAACAATAACAAAACATGAATCTTTCAATTAACACTTTCACCTACATCATATTAAATATGCCATTAAAAATCAGTAGCATTTTGGGTCATTTTGAGTCATGTCAGGAAGCTGTAGTCTTTGACAACAATGTCTTTACCCTTATAAACACATTAGGTCCATACCCAGCAAGGAAATGTCTGAATATTCCGAATGCAATGGAATATTGAATGGTATCTGACTTTGCAAAAATGAAAAAGAAAAGCTACTTTTTTTTTCAAATGCAGCATGCTTCCTCAATAAAGGTAACGACAACTAACATCCTCTCTAACAGTTTATCCTTTTTTCTTCTGCCTACAGATTGATGAAAGATCCTACTCTAGTTCTCTCATTTTCTTTCTCTTCTGCTTGATTCCTTCTTCACACATTGTGCTGCCATACTCCTACACACACAACCAAATCTGTTCCTTTCATACTGCTTGAAGTAAGAAATGATAATTTTTTTATATTGTCACGTAACCAATGATTCCTACACTAAAAATAATATTGCTTCTGTGTAATTTTCTCATAAAATGAACTGATTTAAGCCCTTAAAGGTTTATTTCAATATTTATATTTTAATGCGATCCTCTGTTGTTACTCTTAATTTTAGTGGAGATGAAAGATATAGCCCACAGAAACACTTGGAGAACAACATGACAACGAAACTAAACAAAGCTCTGTTTCCAACATAATGTTTATTTTTATTTTTTGGTTATGAGAAAAAATATTTTATATATAACGTAGGAACTACAATATTTTACTTAAAAAAACTTAACTAAAATAACTATAGTAGTTATGTGTATCTCTAGATAAATACGAATCTGATTGCACCAGGCAGTAAAACATTTCTAATTTTCTTCATCAAAGTCTGGAATGCCCCATGTTAAAAGAGTGAGGAAAGAAAAAAGAAATGCTGTTCTTCTAGGTTGTCATCTTCCTTATCCTGACAAATGGAACGTTCTTCTCTGTACAGCTTTTTCGGCATGACAACCTGGTGAACATGCTGGAGGTGTTCCGATACAAGCGCCGCTTGTTTTTGGTCTTTGAATTCATCGACCACACCGTTCTGGAGGAGCTGGACCGCTTCCCCTGTGGGCTTGACAGCAGACGACTCAGGAAATACATCTTCCAGGTTTTGCGAGGGGTGGAATACCTTCACTCGTGCAATGTTAGTATCACATGAAGACAGGGGGACACAGTGGTCTGGCCCTGAGTTGTCCATTGTAACACAAGTTATCAGTCATTCATTAAGCATTTAGGGATCTTTGGATCATTATTGCATATTTTTAAGTATTCTTAAGTCTCTTAATATACAATTTCTAGCCCTAAAACTCATCATACATTTTATAATTAACATAATGTAAGTGGATACAAAGTTCTGCTTCCTTTCTTGACAAAGACCTCATACAACAGGCTGGCTCTGCAGCAGTACTTGGAGGAAAACAACCTCAGAAAAAAAAGATTAATGTAATCCTTTGAAAGCTAGAAGGAACAGAAAGGCTCCAAATAATCTAATGTTTTTTTTAACTTACTCCTTTCCTTAAACAACATAACAAAGAGGTTTGACACCTGCCTGATTCACAAGTGTATATTCCCTGCTTTTATGCATCTATGTAGATTTGCTGTTTTTGTTTTTCTGCTCAACAGATAATCCACCGGGATATCAAACCAGAGAATGTCTTGGTGTCTAACTCGGGGATTGTGAAATTGTGTGACTTTGGCTTTGCCCGAGCGCTTGCACCAACAGGCGAGCCTTATACAGACTATGTGGCCACTCGATGGTACAGAGCGCCTGAGCTTCTTGTTGGAGACAAAACCTACAGCAAGTACGGGTAAAAAAAAAAAGGGTGAGATGCATGGTGAGATGTAGTTGCGAGAATGACAAATGCTAAGGAGTTGTGACAAAACATTTAAACCATAAAGAGGTATGATAGTGTGTGTTGTGAACCAAGGAAAAGTCAAGCATAGCAGAGTGAAAAGCACAAATAAATGGGAACGAAATGCTGTTCCACTGCAAACTTCTAATAAGATCGTGAAAAAGAGCAGTCTCAGCACAAGAAAAGTCTGGACTGCAGATATGAAAGTAGGCCCTGCATTGCATTATGGAACCAGAGCACTGCACGTTTTTATTTCTGAATAATGTCTTTCAAACTATAATACCACATCGATGTGTTTAACCATGATATAAATATGTCATGCAAGCTATTAAAGTGAAAATAAAACAGTAAAAGGCATGGTAGGAATATTTAAGTACAGGAAGCAGTAGAATTTCTAAGTTCACAAGCGAGTTCTCTTGGTATTTCTTCCATGTTATAGACCTGTAGATATCTGGGCCATTGGCTGCTTGATAATGGAAATGGCCACTAGTCATGCCTTCTTAAAAGGGACCTCTGACCTGGATCAGGTGCACAGGATTGTGACTAAAGTAGGTGAGTAGAACAGGATTCTCACCAGGTTTTCATGTAGGATGAGGTCTGCATGTTGGAATGTGGTTTGACAAATGCAGTTTTATAGTCCAGCTTAAGACCCCAGAAAAGCAGCTCTTTTTCTGTCTAGGATAACAAAATCAATTCTGATCCATAGCTGTAAATGTTTGCTCCAAAAATAAACCACTTTACAGGACTCTCATGAACAATGACTCAGACATCTGCCAAAGTTGCTTTAAATTAAATTAATTCGAAGCACAGTCTGTTAGAGGAACCAACCTGTGTCAAATTAAATGCTATAATATTGGAATCCTTCTAAGATTGGAAAGATAAGATCAATGCCCTGATCTAACATGAGGTCGGAGCCTGCAATTAAGCTCGACCCCAAATGCAGGATTACACTGAGAATTCTTAAAGGTATTGGGCCAATTATCTCATTTTTATTTTTTAAAATAGGACTTTGAGAGGAAACGGTTGGAATCCCTTCCTGGGAAAGCAGAACACTTCTTTATGTAAGAGAAAATGTTTCATCTAGTTAGTTTCCAGTTCATTAACCGGAATAGCTGTGAAGGAACATATACCCAAGGCTACTCACCTCCCTAATCGGTCCCAGAGTGTCTGCCTCTATACTCCAAAGCCTCTTCGGTAGTAATGGCAGTGTGCCAGCGTCAATGCAGCAGCGATAATAATGTGCGGTGCATGACAGAGTGCTCCTTTTTGTTCAGCAGCTGTCTACAGATACACCGTATCTGTCCAACAGGCTGACAGATCTATTTACAATAGTCAAAGTGTCTCTGAAATGATTCATTACAGCTTTTTATTGCCTTGTGCCCAAATGAAACTCCAGCCACGAACTGTTTGTCTGGAGCTGTGTAATTATGCATGCTAACTGTGATTACGGACGTGCCATTTTACTAACATTACAAATCTGTGTGCGTCATAATTCAATTACTGGTCTGATTTGCACAGAACAATCAAGCACCTCAATCTCAACAAATTCAGATGGAAGAGCATGAGTTGTTTTGCATACCATCATATCAAATGACTCGCTTGTTGCTGAAAGAAGTCTGGTGCCATTTGGCTCACTTTTGCTCCAAGGGAGATCACAGAAAAGTCGTTGATAGAACAGAACAACAGACATGTGAGCAGCTATTCCTGAACAATATTTCAGTTTTCTATCTTTATCCTTGTCTAGTTTTTCTGTATGTATAATGTACTTAGTTCACAGCTAGAGACACAGTTCTTTCTGGAATCACTCCAAAGAAGAGCAACCAGATCCGTTCTGGGATTAATGGAATGACAAGGTGAAGCAGCTAAGCCTTTTTACCCTTGAAAAGAGAAGACTATGAGGGGACCTGATACAAGTATTCGGAACCCTCAGACCAAATAAATCCAGTGGATTTCTGCAGAATGAACAGTGAAACACAAACCGGACAACACAGTGTACATTATATGGAAGTGCGTTTAAAATTGAGAACAGGAGGCACTTGTTGGTTAATTACAGGAGTCTGAAACACGCTACCCAGCCATGCTGATGAGGTTGATGCCCTTGCTGCTTTCAAGAAATGGCTGGATGAGATCTTTGAATCTTTGCTACTGACTATCAATGTGCAAGATGGCCTGCTCTTACGCTTGTTTCCATTCTTATGTGTGTGAGTGTGAGAAGCAATGGAAGAACTGGTAGCTAATCCTCAATGACAGTGTAAGCCTTCATACACCAGGACCTTATTAAACACCAACAGATGTGCTGTTAAGAAAAGCTTGTCATTATCTAAGACACTTTTGCTGACAACTGAGAGTATTAAATGTAATGAATGGCGACTGCACACATTATTGTAAACAGGGGAATACTTAAAGAGAGAGAGCATCACCAAAAACTGCAAAATCGTTGCAATCTGCTGTTAAGACAAAGCCTTGAAAAAATGATTGAAGATCTAGGAAAAATAAGATTCCAATCCTGTGATTCACGCTGGAACTTAAGCAGGTGGAGCTCTTCTTTTTTGTGCACTTCTCCTAATTAATCTTATTTAATCGTTTCATTTTATTCATTTTTTCAGGGCCTTTGACCCCCCAACAGCTGGATCTTTATTGTCAAAACCCGGTTTTTGCTGCAGCAACTCTTCCTCAAGTCCAGCTCCCCAGAGAGCCAAGGAAGAAATATCACAAGGTCACCCCACTCCTTGCAGAAATGGTGGATGTAAGCTTCACTCATCAGCTTTGCATTCTTTGGCTTGTCGAGCCACTTTACATGTATTATTAGTAGAGGTAAATGCATAGGCTGTACAGGCATGCTTTCAAGAATACAACCTGCCAAATATGTACAAATTACTCATGACAACATCAGTGAATTTTCACGCACAGGATAGAATTCTCCATGAATGCCAGGGTTATCAATCTGAAAGGTGTTTTGTTTGTTTTAGTCTTGTTTCCAGATTGATCCTCCTGATAGGGCATCATGCTCTGAGTTGCTGTCCCATCACTACTTCACTAAGGACCGATTTCCTGAGAGGTGATAAAAAAATGCATTTATTCCGAACATCTCTTTGAGGGGGAAGGGCAAATGTATACATTTGAAGTGAAATGGTTTGAAAGCACAGTTTTCAGTGGAGCCTGTCGGGAATGTTGAGGTTCGTTCCAGAGTTGAAGGCCCTGATTGAAAAGGAGAGCAGGAGCTGTGGTAGACGGAGGAGTCAGTTCTGCGCTGGGGGGAAGGAGCATCCAGACGACCCGCTGCCTTCTAGCATGAAGTCAAGCAACAAGAAACAAATCAAGGTTCGGATTTTTTTCCTGGGTATGTCCAAAAGTTCAAAGCTGGTTTTACAAAGTTTATCCAGGTATTATGAATTTCTGCGAAGGGTTTCATGGAGATGAAGTAAATTTTGTTTAGACCTGGGGGGAGGCACACTAGCCGCTGGGCCTCATTACTTTCAAACATCTTTTATTCTGTTGTTGATCATAGCGGTTGAGTTAAGAACTTTTCATCATTCTTATTTATAGGAGTAATTAAAGCCACCATGATTCATAAGATGTTATGTCCATACATTTATGCCCTCTTGAAAATATAGATAAGAGAGGCCCATCTTGATTGATGTACACAGATAAACTTTGTATGTATTGTTCATGGAAAACTGGCACCTCAAACAAACCAATCAGTTAAAAAGATCAATTCAGTTAATTGCTTGGATAGATTTGGGGTTATTTCTGATCAGTGCTGGTTTACATGTTTAACCTGGCTCAGGCTTACCACGTGTAAGTTGTCTTATAGGTGTTATTTGCTGTATTTAGTACATTCTGCCAGCGATGTCTCTCACCTGTGTTAGGACAACGACAAGGTCAGGAAGTGTGAACCTAAACCGTCCAGATCCAGAGTGGGCAACACAGAGGGGAGGAGGACAGAGAGAGTGGAGCCCCTCCAGGAGGAGAACCCCATCACTCACAAAGCAGACTCCAAACCTGACCCCGGCCAGGGAAAGGCCCAGTCTCCCATCACACTCGTCATGCCCCCCATCAACTCCTGCAATAACCTGGTCATTGCAGCCGCCTCCAGGCTGGAGGCCAACATGTCCTGGTCAGCAGCTCATCAACCATTCCTGTACAATAGCTGTAGGACTGCAGTGCTAACTGAAGACAGTCTCCACCCTCTCTCAGATCTCCAGACACTACATGGGCTGTAATCCTTGGTCTCACATTGGGGCTTTAAGTACACAGTACAAGCTGAATTCCAGCTCTTGGGCAAGCTGAGTGATATATCATAATTGAACTACATTTTACATATCGATTACATCAGATTTTTACTCATTGCATAGTGGATTGGGGTTTTAAGCTGTTCTACTCCTTGACCTGTAAAGGTGAAATGTCTTTGGACGTTTCAGCCTGTGCTCCAAGTTAACAACTGTCTCAGTCTCAATGCCTTAATCCAGCAGTACTGGGAACTTTTCAGAGCAGCTTTGACAGATAGACCACCTATTCCTCTGCTTCTTAGCAGCTGATTTAAAGGGTAGTTGAGAGGTTTTTTGGAGATGATCACACTGGAGCTGCCTGTGCTGTTCTCTGAGTGCGTACAGATAGACGATCGCATTTACTCTGACTGCTGATCACCATCATTCGAAAGAGCAAAGAGTTCACCAAATACAAATACATAAAATATATTTGCTCAAATTTTACTCTATCTGTGCATCATTATTTAATAAAACTCCTTTTTAGCACTAACAAAAAAGTCACCACACAACAGTAAATACAATGTGAAGCCATTTAAAAGGTATGTCATTAAGAAGCAGATAAATTCTAAAATTGAATCTAATTTTAAACAATGCAACTCTTATTACCACAAAACTAGGTGTCGTTACAAAGTTTAAGATGCCCTAGGATCCACCTTCTTTTAAAAAAAAATTAAATAACAAGCTACCTAAAATCTTGAGTATAGACGTACATGGGATTCAGATATAATTTCATTTAAGAAGGTGCAAAGCCATTCAGGGCTGTCTGAGTTACTTTTAGAGCTCCTAACACTGGAATAATGTGTAAGAATTACAACAACAACATGCTCTTTCCCTTTCATGCACTACAAAACCAAACCGACTAATCTTTTTTTCATTTCATTGTTCGTCAAATCGGTTTGTTACTTCAGGGCCCAACATGACAATGTCAAGAGAAGACAAAGCCCCCAGCACAATCCTGGACTAGCTGCTGCCTCTGGACAGGAGGAGGAGACCCCTGACATGACACAGGTGAGAGAACCAGTAAAAACAATGAGAAGAATCACTTGCAATTGTATGCTCTTGCATCCTGTCCTCTCCGCTTGCACTCCTTGCTTGCCAGGATAGGCTCCAGCTCCCCTGCAACCCTAGACTGCAGGAAGGGGTTAGAAAATGGATGGATGTATAGATAGCGCTTTCCACACCAAAGGATCTCAAAGTACAGTTTAAATAGAAGGAAACCCACTTCTTCCACCACCAAATGAGCAACAGTTCTGATTCACCACCATCTTCACTACTCAGCAGGTCAGGTGGAGAAGTGAGATTCTGCTTCAGCAGTGGAATCAAGACCAATCTGGTCTTAGAAAAGGGAGAATCTGGGAAGCCAGGATGTTGGAGTAAACACCCTTGCTCTTATGAATGACCATGTAATCAGGATCTTAATTTAAAATCACATCAGAAAATGCCTCCTCAGGCAAAAAAAAACACAAAAATTTCCCATGAGGTGTTTCAGTGAGAAAAGTTCCTGTAAAAAAATTGAATCTTGTTTTAGGAATGAGGATACAGGGGAAAGTAGGGAGTCAAAAATGCTAGGTAAATTAAAGGATGAAGAAATCCATCAAAGCCCTCCAGCCGCTGAACCCGGGTGTCCAGCAGATATGGGTCATTTTCATCAGTCCTCAGAATAATGATCTCTTATTGACTTCACTGCCTAAACTCAGGGATTGAATTCTCACCCTGACTGGCCTCCTCTCTATGCGCAACAGATTTCAAAGAGCAGCATGTGTCATTATTTAAATGCAATTAATCACAGAACAGACGCAATGAGGCTGTGTGGGATTCAGAAACAGCCAATTTGTATGTAATTAAAATGCAATCTAGCAGAAATGATCTCATATCCTTGGAGATATGTGATGCTAAGTGCGGAATTGTAAAATAAATAATATAAACACACTGACATGCACTGTTTAAACAGAGTCCTATTACTTCTGTATTGTTTTGACAAAAAAGGCTTTCCCACTTCGAGTATGCACAGTGAAGTATTAATGTGTTTCTTATGTCAAAACGTGTAAAGATTCTAAGCTGTGGTCCACAAAAAGCTTGAATAGAGTTAGCCTTATTTTTAAACTGCATTCCTTTCCATTTGGTAAAATTTTAAAAGGGGGGTCAAGATATTTGATAGAATGTTTGGATAATTTAAAAATTCACAATATCCTTGTAAATAGTTTGCGGGTGATTTTGTTTTTCAAATCAGGCCATAAAGAACTAGAACATAAAAAAGTGAAAATCCAAAACAATGAAGGTTATTTTGTGGTACATTTATTTTTCCTATTTACCTTGTATGATTATTTCTGCAGATGCAGTATACTTGCGCCAAACATATTGAGGCTGCAAGCGTAATCAGAAGAGTGAAACCAATGAAAGATGTTCGCTTTCCAGAATTACCAACAATGACCCAGAAGGTGGCGCTAACGTTAACAGAAGGTAATTCTTCAGTTCTTCAGAGTTCAGAGTTCTTCGTAACCTGTGAGTGCAATGACGAAACAAGAATATTTTAGCAAGGTGTATTTATTGAATAACTCACTAACTTTTTACACTCCCTATAGAATAAGAAAGAAAGTTTACTAACCCACAATATATGCATGTTTATGTTGTAAATACAAATTAAATGCTGTAGGAGGCTGACATTTAAACATTAGTTCACACTTTTCAGAATCCACACACAGAAGAAGTGGTTTTAACAAAAGGACAATGATCTCCTATTTTTAAAAACATAAATATTTTGTGATTTCATTATTGTTGTTTGCTGGTTTCTATACCAACCAAACATGCATCGCTGAATACAAAGTATGCTGCTGTAATCAAAGTCAGATACAAAATCCTACCACTTCAAGTGGTAATATATTAAAAGTAATTTCTTTACAATTGTTAGTAGTTCTTCCACAATAAAGCTTTATTACTCATTGTGTGGAGTCGGAGTATGAAGTCCTCATGCAACAAATTACCTCATGCAACAAAACTATTTAGTGCACAATTAGAACATTAAACTGCACTCTAAATATCCCTGGGAGCAAGTGCAATTTAGAGAGGAATGGAAGTTATGTCCTGTTGGGGGTATTTTTAGTATCCCATGCCACTGTTCACAAGAGTAGGGGTGTTAATGTCAGTGTCTTGGCGAAATTCCATGTTGGAGATTGTATAATCTGGCCTCCCTAAATCCATCCATCCATTTTCTAACCGTTTCTTCCAATACAGGGTCGTGGGGAACCCTTGCCTATCCAGGCAAGCAACAGGCGCAAGGCAGGGTACACCCTGGATGGGACACCAGCCCATCACAGGGCAGAGACACAGACACAGACTTGCACACACACGGGGGCCAATATTCCCAGAAGCCTATGAACCTACCAGTATGTTTTTGGACTGTGGGAGGAGACCCACATGAACACAGGGAGAACATACAAACTCCACACGGATAGCACCCCAGGTCCAGGATTGAACTTTGCGATGAAAAGTGTAATACAAATGAAATGGTGATTATGATGATGACAACCTCAAACAGAAATATAAAAGCTCTTGCATGAGAATATCAGTATGACACCAGGATAAAAATGTTTCTGAACAGCTGCTAATTGCTTAAATAGATCAATAGGACCAACCAAATGAGAGAAACTCAAAAACCTGGTTGGATGGGTGAAACTAATCAGCACAAATAAGCTCAGTCTTCTAGGTGCTCCTGGATCAATTCACTTTGCTGAGATATCAGTGCTGTTATTAAATTTTTGCACTGTGAGAGAAGTCCACAAACACTCAATCATTGTTCAGTAGGACTGGGTCACAATAACCTGGCTCAAAACTACATTTTTCAACTGTTTTGAGAAAAGACACTCATGGCTGTGCTTGGTCCAGTAGAGATTGTGAGAGATGATTCAGCCAAGAAACAAGAAACAAAAGTCTTGACATTATCTGCTTATGACCATAAGGATTCCTTTTTCACATTAGTAATAGTAAATCCCCACACCGAGGTCCCAACTGTTATCTAAATATAATTGTATTATTATTAGAAGTAGTCTTAATTATAGTAATAATGAGTTGTATTTTATATA